TGGATCTGCAGTAGCAGCCCGGCTGTCCGGAGGGGATATCCCTCCCCTCCCACTCCAGCCACCCCTCGCTCCCTCTCCCCACAACCCCCAGAGGGGCCCCGCAATCGCCGCATGCCTTCGCCCTTGTGGCTCGACGGCAGACTGGGGGGAAACTTGGTGAGGACAGGGGCGGGGAGGGGGGAAGGGGGGTTCTTGAAGGAGGAGGAGACGCCGCTGTATCCGGATGGGTCATCAATCTAAATGAGCGTCCTCGCGCTAAGGCCCTGCCCGGCCGCGCTCCGTGGGGCGCTCCGGCTGCTCCAGCCGCTCCGGGTGCTGACCCCTGCGCGGCCCTCTCAGGACGTTCTCCACGCGACCTCGTGCGTCTCCTCGAGGAGCACTTCGGTCGCCTCCTACTAGCCCGCACACGGAGAGCACGTCTCCCGCGAACGCTCGTGACTGTTGATATCGTCGCCACCATCGCGGGCCCAACTGCCAGCTTTAGTGTTGATCCTTTGCCATAACGTTATGTCCGATTTTGCCCATACCTGATGAAGAGTGGCACGGCCAGAAATACTTTTAGTATCACAGGCACTTGAAAACTCCAGCATCACACTTGTAGGGAGCGTGGACGCCATTCCATTGGTGCAAGGCACAAGTCTGTGACTATTATCACACACTAGCGTTCTTAGTGTGGGCCCTTTAGAAGCGCGCTGCTCACAAAGTTCCCTTCTCATAAATTGCTTCCCGTACAGAGTGTACTCTGAAACGTAATCCGCGAGGCGCCCCCGCACCGCGTCCACACCTATGACACACAGCTTGCTTTTCTTGGCCGCCGCTTTTTCCTTGCCCGACGTATCGCGGCCGCCCCCGTATATTTCACCGCACGGTGGCGTTGGCGCTGAAGGCAATACGGCGCGGGGATTTAATAAATGTTGCCGTTGGTACCTATCGGTCGCCGGGCAGGCGTTCCGGTCCAGTGAACCGTCACGCCCCGCCCCGCCCAACCGCACCACGCCACCGGGGCCGTACCTACGTCATGGGAGCACCGCCGGGATACCAGAAGACACGGGTTCGGGTAGAACGCACACATCCGCACACATCGTGACTCTGTGGATGCAACCCATATGGATTAAAGTGGGGGATGGAGAGACGATCCTGAAAACCAACCTGCATTGGTGACGGTTTACAAAAAGAGGTGAATCGTTTTCCGGTTTTTAGATGATGACCTTAAAACACCTACACTAGAGTCTAGCTGTACAATACAAGACGTAATTTTACATAATCCTACATTCCTATCACCAGCTTTCACGATAATTCTTAATTAAGCTTGTTTTTTTTTTTTTACCCTGCGTGGCGATTTAAAGGAAGTAATGTTTTTGCATTAGCAGTCACATACTCGACCCTTACTGAGGAATGTATTTTAGAAATACTTTATTACGCGGTGAATTCGACCGCTATACTCCCTTGACCCCCTGACCCTTTGCTGTTCCTCCCTGCAACGCATCCGTCCGCAAGATAAGAGCCGTGGTCTTAATCAGCTCTGGTCGTCCTCTTTTCTTATCTGCTTTCAGGAAAGAAAAGGAGAAGGCTACGACGATTTTCTCCCGCCGCGCCCTTTTCTTTTCTTTTCGGGTCGATCAGCCGCCCGAGCGGCGCCCGGCCAACTTTTTTTTTTTAGCGAACCCGGTAACCCTGGCTGACCGCGGCGGTTCGGCTGATCTTGGCCGGGGAAATCCCGGGGATGAATTTCAATCCAACTTTACTGGTGGCGCTGGCGCGCTCGGACAAGGGGAAAAGTGCGGGGCTCAGTCTCAAGTTGGGGCGGGAAGGGTCTGGCCGCGGACCGTCTGCTCGGCGTCTGATTGGCGGGAAGGAAGGTTTTTTAAACGTTGCCTTCTCGCAGTTGGGATTCCGCTACCAAGCTCGTGCATGGCTTCTTCCATAAACCTAAACACGTTTCCAGAACCTTTATTCCAAACTGTATGTTACCACTAACTTTTTTCGTTTCGTGTCGTTCTGCTTGTCGTTCAGCTAACATTTTGCGTTGCATTTTGCCGGTGCGAAACCCGCTGCGCCTGACCTTTGAAACCCATTCTAGGTGGCATTTGCATTTGTGGCGTTGGCGACTCAAACTCTCTGACTGTGCCAGCTGTCGTTGCGGCGTTTGGGAGCTGGGCCCTGCAGTGGGCCCTGCTAGGGGATTCTCCTGCTGCGGTGCCCTCATACTGGGGTCCTCCTGCTGCGAGAGGGGGATCATCCTGCTGGGAGATGGGGCATCCTCGGAGATCCTCCTGCTTCGGGATCCTCCTGCGCGGGACGTCCTACTTCCTTGGAGTCCTCCTGCTGGAAGCCCTCCTGCTGGAGGTCCTCCTGAGGTCCTCCTGGGTTCCTCTCTGGCCCGGCAGCCAGTGCCGTCGTCCCGCAGGCCGGGAGGGGGGCGAGGCCTGCCCGCGACCCTTCGCCGTGCGGTGGGCTTCCAGGGGAATTAACGAGCGATTGATATTGTCAGGGAAACGCGTGCGGACGGGCCGGGCCGGGGCAGCGCGTGTTTGAAAATAATTCATTGCGCACCGGCGCTGACAGCCGGGCCAGCCAGGCGCCACCCTATCTCAGATTCGCGCAGTTGTGGGAATGTTGGGTTCCCGATTTCGCGTCGGGTGTTCAGAGCAGAATGCACAATTAGGCTTCATTTGTACGGCAGGCGGGACTTGATCCTGTCAGTTTAGGGAACCTCTTTATCCCGCTCTTCAGAAAATAATCTACAGTCTACTATTGTAAAAATCAACCACTACGTCGCACTGAAAATTTACAGCTGTATCTCTTGCTAACAATTTGCAATAACTATTTTGCAGCTTGAAATTGGGTTAAAAATTGAAAGTTCTCAACTGTTCGAATTTTCTGTTTCTTTCAGCAGTTTGTGTTTGTGTACGTGTAATTCATTTCTCTTTTTCTTTGATTGCAGGAGCGTTTCCGCGTGGAGGCGGACGTGGCGGTGAATCGTGCCAACATGCTGACCCGCCTGTGGAAGTACGCGGGCGCCGAGGTCATGCACTCGGAGTACCTGCTGCACGCCGCCGTGTTCGCCATGGTCGAGTTCGACGACGACATCTTCGCGGCGGGCAACTGCTACGACGCCTACCAGTACAAGGACTACTGGCTCTTCTGCCCGTTCGCCTACCGCCTGCCCGAGGGCCCCATCCTGGTCAAGGACCTCGCCGTCGAGTACAAGTACCTGGGCAACAAGTCTGAGTGGTTCTACGTGGCGAGGAAGAACGCGGAACGGGTCATCCACAACTACAACCAGTTCAGCAGAGGTGAGTCACCCCCCTTCCCCAGCCTCGGCTCCTCGAGTGCGGCTCGTCGAGGACGACTTACTCCCCCCAGAAGGAGTCTTTTAGCTCACCCTGTGTTTGTCCAAGTCAGACCGGGCGCCCTGTGTAACTACAGTTGGGAAACAAAAGATATTGAGTCTTTTGTGTGGACACGTGGCCTTGGGCACGTTGCGTGGGAGTGCGCGCGCGTGCGGGGGAATGCGCCAAACACGTGTGGACGCCAGTTTGACGTTGAGGCTGGGCGAGGAGAGAGAGAGAGAGAGTGTAGTAGGCCCAGAGGGTGTAGGAGAGAGCGGACGGAAGAGCAGGAGGGGAGGGCGGGAGGAGCATGACGGTGTCCCATTCCCTAACACTCTCCCTCCACTCAACGCCCGCTGACATTCGTCAGCGTCCCCACGAAGCAGATGGAAAGGAAATGGAATGTGCCTCCCGACCGCGGCCGCCCCCCTCCTGCTTCCCCATACCTCGCGGCCGCGCTGCCGCCCGCCCGCTACGCCGCATGGGCGCGAGATTAGAATGTTCTGCGGACAAAAAGAGCCTCATATCCTGTGACCTGCCCTGGCTCCGCCGCCCTGGCCGGCTAGCGTCCGAGAGCTCCCCGGGTGGGCGACTTCCACTCCCGCCCATATCACTTATCGAATTTTGCGACACGCATTCTTTCGCCCCGCGCGCCGGCCGAGACGCGCGCGATTTTTCATCTCGTTGAGCGGTTTTCTTTTTCGCTCTCTTTGTGCCTCTCGGCAGACTCCTCTCACAAGAGCGCTGACTTTGCCGTGGTTGATAGTGTATTAAACGTCCTTGGCATGTGTGGAAGGGAGAGGAGAGGAGCGCAGTGTTACAAAAATATTGTATCTTTTCAACTTTTTGTATGCCAAAAGTCTTTAGGGGACAGGGGCTCGTTACCTTTGATAGCTGCGCAACCATCAAACTACAGCTCTGATTGTAAAATTACAATCAGCCAAAGAGGGCACATGAGCTATGAGCTCACAAGGCAAACCCCACATTAATTAAATGAAATCCAGGCAGTTGAATGAACACAGTGTTGTAGCAATTCGTTTTCCAACTCGTTGGCTATCAATTAATACTATCAACCCTGGCTAAAAATGCTACCTCCATGTAGGGTTGTAACTATTACAGACGAGGTTGTAAAATTACTAAACCATTTTTACTGTGTGGAGGAGAAGGGCGAAGAGGAGACTGTGAGGCCTCCGGCCTCTGGTCTTGGAGCTGTGTGCGAGGGAGAGACTTTCCCGAGTGTCCCTCCCCCCCTCTCTCTCTTCCCACCCCCCTTACTCTCACTCTCTTTAGCCCCGAGGTCGCTGCTCGAAGTCGCACAACACTGATTTGATTGATGTCCTTTCAGTTGATTTGTCTTATTTTCTAATTTCCTCTTATGGCACTCTAGAAACACGATGCCTCCGGGAACGAGTGAGTCGCTGCATTGTAGAAGTGATGACGAACTAAATTATTTCATACATATGGGAAAAATTTCTGCAAAGAACGTGATCATACCGCGAAGAAATTAAATTTCTTTCCGAACCTGTGGGATTGGTGTATATCCTAAAAAATATTAACCAGCCGAATTCTCAGCATAGGAACGTGGTAATAACTTAACAAGTCTAGTCTAGTTTTAATTTAAAATAGAACCAACCATTCTAATTCGCATTCTTCTTTCCTTCGCTTTCCTCACAGCTGTCGTCGTTCTCCACTTGGCCCTTATGGCGTCGCCCACCCCGTTCCTTTTCACCCCGTGGATGCCTGACCCTTGTTCCGGCGTGGCGTGCCAGTAATAGTCCGCTGTATAATAGTCCGTCTAGTTCAGCTCCTCTCGATCGGTCCGCCCGGCGGATAGCACGGCTCGGGACCATACGCGTGACGTGCGCATGACGTGCACGAGGACCCCACACACGAGCGCGGTGCCGGAGGAGCGGAGCGCTGCTGAGGGTCGAGGAGGAGCCCTGCCGCACCGTCTTCCGAAATTTTACACGTTTGGGAATACCAAAGGACTTTGGCGATAGGCAATATTTTTCACGGTTGTTCCACCTGAATCCCAGAAGTCACTGGTGAAAGGGCGTGAGTGAGTCCAATGCTAAGTCCGTGGACTTACGCCCTTTTCACTTTTCATCAATGAAGTTTCTTTGACCTTGACCTTGACACATGGTGACGCGTATGGGCGCGCGCGTGGCGGTGGGGTGGGGGTTAAGTAAAGAGTCATTCCGAAGTTGAAATAAGTGGCTGTCTCGGGATCCAGTGTCGAGTCGAGCGGTGTAGAGGTGTGCTGGCATGGCCTCCGGGCATGGCGACTGGCTGCGAACGCGACTGCTCCGTGCGGCTGGAGTGGTTGGCTGGGCTATATTCGACCGTACGATTGCGAGGCACGCCTCTTGGGCTGATGCACAACGCCGTGATCTCATCAGAGATAGAGAAATAGAGAGCTGTTGTTGCGACACGAAGGTAAACTTCTTCGTGCGACGCTTGTCATGGTTCTCCCCTGTCTCGCCCACTGTCACGATAGAAATGCTATCAGTGGAAAACAGAACCTTTCAGGCCATGTCGCAACTTTGGTACAAAAGTGTTTACTTTCAATTCAACTTTAGATGTGTGTAAGATTGGCTTTTCTTACCCAATCATTAAGTACTTCCTTCTATAGATATTTTTTAAAGATCCAGTGTTTGTTTTTTTCTGTAATTATTGTGACAGTAGTACCCTTTGCGCAGGCAGCAAGCCCTTTACGACGTCGCCGAGCGTCGTGAATAAGCGCCCTATTGCGTGCCCACCTCTTTGTACTAGGGCGACGGATTGGGTGGGGATGATGCTTCGCTCGCCTTTTGAACTCGGCAGGCGCAGCAGCAGCAGCAGCAGCAGCGGCAGCGGGGTGCCGAATCAAATCGGGTAGTTCTTTTCACGGGGCTTTTGGAATGTTGCGAAATTGCGATGTCGCGCGCCTCCTTCTGCCGCGCCTTAAAGTCCTAGTCGGGACGCAGTAGTCAGTAGTGAAAGCCCAAGGACCCCACCCTTTCCAATCCCGAGCAAGGCGCGATCGCCCCGCCCGGCCCTTCCTTTCCCTCTGGTCTATCCCGAGAAGGTCTCCACCCCCCCTCTCCCCCCCTCTCTCTCTCTCTCTCTGCCACACTTCGTACAAGCCACGTTCGACGAGACGCGAGTAGAAATGAATAGTTTCTATCGGACGCGTGCCGTCTTTTATCCAACCCAAGTCGATGGGGAGAAGTATTTCTTTTTTCCTTTTTTTTTTTTGAGGGGGCTTCATCGTTCGTTGCGCGCACTTGTGGGATTGTGGTACGAGGTTCAGGACCTCTGGTTTCGACACTCTCCACACTACTAGCCCTTGCGAGGTATGAAGAGTGAAAATTACGCATGTAATACTTATAAAGGCATCACACTTACAATAAATAACGCAGTAAATAACGTTACAGTTTTTTTTATCTTTCTCTGTGGAAGTTTTCCGACGGCTTGCGTCGTAATCTTCTTTGACGGCGCAACCAACAAAACACAACGCGTTAAATCAATTTGGTACGTCAGCATGTTTTAGTCAAAACAAAGAAAAAGGTTTACTTCAGTTAGAGTTGTAACGGTCTTCAGAGATGTAATTTATATCAGCTATATTGTTAAAGAAATGTTGGAAAATGTTTTACCGTGTATGTGATTTGTTGTTCTTCTCGAGAACCATCGTTTCGGCCCCCAACACTACTTCCAAGGGTCATGGAGATTTAGTAAAGTGTATGGCGGAGGGG